TGAATATAAAGGTCCACAGCACCCTAGACACCATGCTTGTATCTACTTTTATAAGGATCAAGCCTATACATATTCTGTTCACATCCAGACCAGGGTGTACCCCTGCCTTGTGCCCTATGTTGCCTGTGAAAGTCTCCAGCTCCCCCCCAATGAGCCTAGACAGGATAAGCAGCTAAAAGATGGAAGGATGGCTGAATGGATAGGTGAATGAATATACATTCCTTAATGTGAAACTGATGAACAATGCTCATGTCATAAATAGGTCCATTTCTAAACTCTTAGTTTCAATTCTGAGATAAACAATCTGCAACCCATTTTGTAAACTACGCCTTTACTTCAGCAGTGTTCTTTGTTCAATTTGCATTTGAAGCTTTTGGAAGGACTTTCCATTATGTCACCTGGCACCAGATTCTAAAAGCTTGCCAGAGCCTAAATGCAACGAGAATTAACTCGAAAAGAGGGAACCATATGACTCTTTTACTTGGGAAAGTAAGATGGGTTGTCTACAGCTTAAATAACAGCTAATCAAAAAAGACTGCCACACATAAACTAACTGTAATGAGCCTGGAGTTTTCTCACTGAAACCATTCAGATTGTAAGCTCCCTTAGATACAAGGTTCTGCCAGGTTGTATAAAATCAATTACAACTGCAAACTACAGTATTTGGAGTTAAGAAAAATTGGCCCTTTTCTAGAAGTATTCTCTAGGATGTGCTGGAAAGAACCATTTTAAACCTCCATTAATACATTCCTACAAGACTACAGCTCATGAGGGGCATGGTGGCGCAGGGGATAGCACTGCTCCCCTCACACGTCTGGAACCTGGGTTCAAGGCTCCACACGTGGAGTTTGCATGTTCTCCCTGTGTCGTCATGCTCTGGGTTTACCCCCTTCCCCTCCACCCCACAGTCCAAAAACATGCTGAGGTTATTTGGTGTTACGAAATTGCCCATAGGTATGAGTGGATGGTATGTGAGTGTGCCCAGTGATGGGTTGGCACCCCATCCTGTGCTGTTCCCTGCCTTGTGCCCATAAGCTCCAGAACCCCCATGACCCTGAACAGGACAAGTGGTTACAGAAAATGGATGGATGGATGGATGTGTTTCCTGATAACTACTTAATTCAAAAGATCAATAACACTCAAACTGACAGAGAGAACAGAACATGGCACCGTAACTACATTTAGCCTTAACAGTAGCAGCATAACTTCCAAAATAACCAGTCTACGTTTATACTGTAGCCAACAAGCTTAATATAGCACTTTCAACTTTTCTTTAAGGGTGACATGTTTTACGTGAGATAAACGTGAGGTACTGCCGAGGATGAAAATCTCTCATATTATATATAATATTCTTTACATAAAAACGGAAACAATTCAATGCAACTTATCAGTCTTTTACCACGTACATTAAAAACAGAACTAATTTTATAAATATTTACAAATATCGTTATAAACTTTATATATATATTTTTCGGAAGCACTCCAGCAGCACATCATACCCTTGGTTTAATATTTGAGGTTGACGTTTCCCACGTTTACGTATCAGTCGGCCCTATTACGCATGTACTGTATTTACATCACATATGTCACATGCGACGAATCAGACCCAGCAACCGACTGTATTGTCCCATGGAATTGCATTACATATCCATACGTTTTAACGCCAGACTACCACCCCAAATAAATGTTTCAGAGGCAGTTTTCAGAGATATCAATACTATGATTCTAGCAAACAGGTGGCACATGTTAGAGATTCATTTGAGTTATTTTGTTTATAAATGATCACTATAGTATGCGGTTTGTTTTTGAGTTACTTACCCATGTTGTATCCATAAGGGGATTCGCTGGCTCCATCCTGAAGACTCGCCAAAATCTCCCCCTTCCCCACATCGCTGTCTCCAACCAGCAAAAACTTCAGTAGGAAATCGTAAGCCTTTGCGGGACTGCTTCGGTGGCTCATCCTCACGGCATAGCACTCCGATCTCCCATAATTGTTCACTTTAAAAGCGCCTTTCGATTCTCCCTTTCAACTTGCCGAAGTCAGCTTGGTACCAAGGGACACGTTTTGACAAGCGAATATAAGTCACCGTCCCACAAACTTTCTAAGTCAATATGGGATCGGAGTATACCTGCCAGAGAAAGTTACTCTTCGCAGACACACATTCCTACCTTCTTCAAGAGAGAAATAAGCGTGCGCAGTCAGTGTTGTGCCAACGAGATAACATCCAAACGTAAGACGTCATGCAAATCCATTACAGTCTGCTGTAAGCGGTGATCCTTAAAATTGTCACGCTGTGTCGCAGCAACAGTGTCAAGCGCAACATTCCTTTGGGAATGACTACAAACTGTCAAATTATATCTCGCTCATTGTCAGTCACCACGTCTCATCTGCTCTCGCAGTCGAAGTTTAAGAATTTTACACTGAAGAGCTCCGCAACCTACACATGCAACCTTTATCCAGCAGCGACTGGAAATACCTGCCCTACGCTTATTCGTACCTACGCCTTTTATGTCGTTATTCCAAGCCACACTGCTCTATGCTCACGCGTTGTCTGTTTCTTCACTACAGCCGTCGACAGCGGTGTAATTGAAGCCCCACCCACCTAAGCTCACGGTTGGTTACTTTGCTGAGTTGCTAGGGAGGCTCAGTCTTTTTGATTGGATACTGCACACATCAGTCAGAATACCATAAAAGCCCTGTCAATACACGGAGGATGTGACTAACGTGAAGGCCATGAGGTGTAGCCCCTGAGTGCTGACCCTGGATCTGTTTCTGCGCTCAGCATAACAAAGTTGGTCATACCAAAGTGGTAGTTTTAGCTGATCATTAGCCAGGGCTGTGGGAGACGCGAGGCTGAGGCTAGCGCGCGGGCGGGGCTTGGTTTGTTATTGTTTACGAAGTCGCAGCTCGTTAGTTAGGTGTCCGAGCTACACGACCGCGAATACCACTAATTATTCGACGAACACGTATGACATTTTACGATGTTTTCGAGAAAGAATAAACACAGGGATGACGTATTTTGCAGTTTTACTCGAAAAGGTGAATCAAATGTTGATGAGCGACGGCTACGCTCTGGTAATTAAAGTTCTCTGAGCACCGAATCAATCAAATGTACGCTCCTTTAGGGTAAGGGATGGCAGCTGAAAAACTGAAGTGTATTTTTATCTGATTTTTTTTATTGCCAACCTAGAGAACAATAATGCAACTATCCGGGAAGATGCGTACCATACGACTATCATCATAGAATATTCCAGCTTCATTCGAATCTCAATGAGCCATGGAAGTTTTAACACGTCCAATGGATGAATTACATCTGAATAGCTGACACATTGTACACCATGGACTATGACATTGTTTTATCACTTACATTCTGGACATTATACTGTATTTTGGACAAGTATTTAGACCAAATTGTTTTCTCTAGGTAAGAAAAACATTTTCCACTAAGACCTGGAAAATGTTCCCAGAAGACTGGCTATTTGCAAGGAAACCGATGTGTTTATTTAATAGGATTTTTAAATGGAGAATTTTGTTTTTCACGGGTACGATCAAATGGCCTATTTTCGTTGACATCCCGTATTCTGGGTTAATACTTCTAAAATGCTAAACTTGAAGCTGGGGGCGGGGATGGAGATTATGTGTTTACCTAATACAAATGCAAATTGGGAGCGCCCTCTGATGGCCATTATAGTCAATAACCGGAACGAAAATTTTTTATATAACAATCTGCATAAAAGAGGCAAACTACTTACATCGCTGTGGGAAAAGGCTGTTTGGCAGAAAGGTTTAAACAGATCCACCATGCACCAGATATTCTCTCATGTTAGCACAGGTAAATTAAATTCACTCCCATCAAGTTCAAGCTTTTGGCGCTGGCTTTCAGAATTGGAATAGCACCCATCTCCACTAATCCCTTATCAAAACCTATATCCGTACTCACTCTCTTCAGTTAGCAAGCCACTGCCACCTAGAGATCCCCTTGCCACATAAAAAGTCATTTGTAACCCTAGACATTTCTCTAGACTTCAGCAGAGTTTCTCTCAAACTTCAAGAAATATACTCCATGGACATCTCAACTAGCTCTTCCTACCTCTGTCCTGATGCCTTTTGATCCCTTGAGTATCCTAAGATGCTCTTGCACTTGACTTTGTCTTTGATTTGAACACATCGTTTGTTAGGTGTCTCTAATGTGTTTATGCAATATACCGTAAAGCTCGTACTCTGAGGCAATCCGGCACTTGTTACTAGTTATTCATTGGAAGCTCAACCTAGCTGAACTAATGCCTAGTTGGCTGCTCAATTGTATGCTTGTACTTGCCTTGCTTATACATCACTTAGTAAATAAAATGAAACTAATATTATAATCTATGACCTCGACAACTACCTTCACTTTAATATTATAGGTGCAAATCATGACAGACTTGAATTATCAATTTGATAAGAACATGTTTACATACATTACAATGGACACCTAGTTTTAGGATATACTGAGAAAGCTAAAGAATTCTGTGTCACTGTATATTCATCAATATGAAAAAACACAGTGGTTAGAGAAAGAATAGGAAGAAAACAATATTTTGTTCCAATCCAGACCTATGTTTTGAGAAAGAGGGCAAAAATATATAATACTCACTCTCTAGATATATATAATAGCCAAGTTATAACACCATGTAACCTTACATGAGCTTCACTTAATATCAATGGTTTCTTTACATAGTTGTGGGCAACACTGGATTCTTTGGAAATTCTAAAGTTAATCCATACAAATTTTAACATATAAAGGTTCAGGTTTTTGTGGTGAAGTATCTAATAAGTAATGATTAAAGTTCTATTTCACCCAAAGGTGTCAATGTAAGAGACAATGAAATTATAAGAATAAATTATTCTTAATCACATTAAATGTTTTTACAACGAAAACATGAACTGTAATTATAGGTTACATATTTTACTTATTGAAAGCCTTCACTTCATTAAAATTAAGACTCTTTTCAGGCTCATCCATATTTAGAGACAGACATTTTATTAACAACAATGCATTGTCATTGCTAAACAACAAGGCAAAAGAAATCTAAAATTTCTCTGAATAGATATCTGATTAAGTGCCACATCACCACTGAACTGGTTTATGTCCGTTTTCCAAATGAAGAAAGGTCAGCTATAGCCAGGAATGGGAAGCGTCTGTCCTTCCTTGGCTTCAAAAAAAGTGTAAGAAAGCGTGATAGTGTCCACTTTTGCCATTCTGGGGTCTTCATCAAACTCAGGATCGATGTAGAAGAATACCGGCATGTCCACTTCTTCTTTGGGATTTAACCTCTGTTCCTCAAAGCAAAAACACTGTGGCAAAGATAGCAACATGTCAGTGTCATCAATTCATTCCAATTTCAGTTAAATTCAGTAAGGTAAAATCTGAAAACAGTACCTATAACAATAATAGGATCAGTTACAAACGGTTTTCAAAATGCGCCCATTCACTTATCGCAGCTATTAAATATGTAGCAGTCATCTTACTTAGACTGATATTACTTCAGATTTTAATCTTAATACAGGGTTAAGTACCAAAATTAAAAATTACTCTTCTGCCAATCTGTATCATAACAGCCAATGAAATCAGCCTGGTATAACTGCTTAAATCTCCCTTCATTAACATTAAACCACTGGTAAGTGGATTAGTGAAGTTTACCGTTTTTACCTGAATTTTGTTAAAGTACTGTCCAGCTTCAAAAGGTACTACATTGTAGGTGGATATTCCAATCACAGGTTTATCTGTAGGATTCTTTGCTTTATAAAATGCCAGTGCGGTTTCTCCAGGAATAACCTAGGAGAAAGAAAAAAAGAAGTATGTAATGTAAATTCAATTTAAAACTGCTCATCTGATCCTGGTCAGGATCACAGACTGCATGGAAACTCTCTCAGGCAGCATAAAATACAAAACTGAGGTACATTCTGAAAGGGTTGCCAGTTGATCACAGGACACACACACATACACACACGTACATGCACGCAATTACACACTGTAGGCAACTTAGAGACAGAAATCAACTTTGTACTGTTGGAGGAAATTGGAGTAGCTAGAGAAAATCTGTGCAACACAGGGAAAGATAGAGAGTCAGTGGATTCGCATTCCCAGCCCTGGCATCGTAAGGTGAAAGTGATACCCTCTGATCCACCATCTAATTCATGTTATTAGTGTAACTATAAGGCCCAGCTGTCGATAAATATGATCTTCTGTTTATAACACACAGGTCTTACATATATCTCTGACTGTTGAGGTTTGAAGTTCCATTGCATGCTGGCATGCACGTCGGCATTGAAGGTGATCTTGATGATGCGGTCCTTCACCGGAGTCATGTTCTCTACTTGCTCTGCGTCGTGACCGGATTGAGCAGTCCCACCAAGTCCTGAAGTCTTGGAGAGAGAATGACACGTTGTTGTTGTCTAAGCAGAGGACCAATGCATATTTACAGGCTGCCCCGAGCTTTAAATACAACTTTAAACCACAAAATGATTTAAAAGTTTCTCTAGCAAAAAGCATATTTTTGGACACTTGTGTTGTAAGACAAAGAGCAGGAGAGCAGAAAGGTAAAAGTAAACCACTTAAAACTTGCCTGGCAGTATAACCGGTAGAGAGGCACTGCTGCATACGACATGCCGATCATCCCCACTCCGGCAGCAGCAATGTACGTGAGGACAGTCCTGTTTCTCTTCCTCCACTCTTCCTCCTGTCTCTCTGTGTGGGGGTTCTTGCGGCTCTTCATGCCCCGTATCTGGCTGCTGAGGCGCTGAGAAGCCTTTCTAGAGAGGAGTTGGTTTGCATGCTGGTACAATCCTCTGGAACTAATCATGTTCTGTATGGCCTTGGTACAAATGTACATGCTAGAGGTTCTTGACAACACTGAGTTCTTTGTCCTGCACAAAGTCTCCCGGAGGAAAGAAGTAAATATCATGGCGACTAATGTGTTATGGCAGACTGATCTGAAAAGTTCTTCATTTAATTACCCAGTCCAAGCATGTTGACCTACAACAATGGAAAAAAAACACACCTATTTCATCACCAGTATTTTTTTATACAATGCACAGTTGTAGAAGTTCATTTTTTTACAGTATACTTTATCAAAATGTCAGCTATTCTCTTATGTAAACACACAGGCCTATAAATATGGCAACCGTCGTTATATTTTATTTTTAAATGGCACTTATTATTATAGCATAATAATAACAACGCAAAGACGTCGTTTTAATATAACCATAGCTTAAATTAACTCATTATAACTATTGTTATCTAGTTAAATAAATCTCGTTTACATCTACATTTTTAGCTTGATAACTTGCTTGAACGCTTAAAGAAAAATCAAATTGCCCGTCTAGTTCTTTTCCTTGCCAAATAAACTAAATCCCAACAGATAACTCAGATACTAGAAATTAATAAGCGGTGTAAATGACGTGTACAAGACAACACTAAACTTTAATAGCTAGTAACCTAGTACATTTCTGCTGCAGTTTCTCTAGCAAATAAGAAACGTTTTACCAGTGAAATTAATGTATTATGTTATCGCGGGGCAGCAAGACATTTTTATAATCATAGTTAAGAAAATATCTAGCTTACATCAGTCCCCTTCAAGCATCAACACCCTTCAAGCACACCTTAGGCCTATAATCGCAGCCATGATTACGTTCCGACCCGAAAGGAATCCCCGGAAACATAAACCAGCCACATCCAAGTTCCGCTGTGAGGCGCGTCTCAGTCATTTACAGTATTTGCGCGGTCCTATAATTTATATGGAACAGCCGAATGACTCTGAATCACACAATCATACAAAGAAATGAATGAGTGACTTAATAAGACAAAAATTTAACTGTAAGCGATGCATGTAAAGTTGTGATTTCTACATTTTTTTCCTGTCTTGAGCAGAGGCAGACACTGATAGGAACATAACAGTTTGGTACTAAACGGCACATCATTAGTGTCTATTTATCTGTGACCTTTTGATATGTTTTTTCACCCCCTACGGTATTAAGTTGGTGATTTTCAGTGTGTTGGTATTTAATATGACTCTTATCAGCAATCATCTATATGCAGTCTGTATAACTATATTTCTTTGAATAGCTGCAAATCTGCTTATGCCTGGCAAAATCAAATTAACCTGTTGAAGTAACGTTCCAAAAGCGAGATCTGTTAAATATGGGTCAATGGCGTGACGCTGTTTTTTTGTGTGTTTCCATATGGTTTAGTTAAATTTGAAAGCGTTAAGATTTGAAAATGAACTTATAAATTACTTGTATATATAAAATTTCTGGTTTTGATCAATCCTGAGAGAACATTTGGGAGATGATGACAAAAATGACAGCATAGTGTAATCGCGAAGACCTTGTACCAAATAATTAAAGATGCTTTTAAAAGATGAAATTTTCAATAAACCACTTTATCAGCTATAGTCGGGTATAACCTTACATTTGAAGTACTTAATATTAAATATTAAGAGCCGCACATGAGATCTCTTGTTCGCGTAAGATAAGGGTATTGGGCAGACTTCTGTCAGCGCTGCCAGGTCTGCAGTTTTCGCGTAGGCCTACTGTATTTTGAAAATACAGTTGCAGGTTAATATTTGGAGGTTGCGGGTTTTTGGGCTGCTTTCATAATGTTTAGATGCAGCCCGTTCACTATTTGTGTTTAATTTTGTTAATAGCGTGCGGAGTGGTGGATTTGAGGCTAGCGATCTCTCCCAGCAGTTGAAAGGTTGCTGCATGTTTTGAATCCTGTGAATGCCAGGAGTTCTGTGGGGCCCTTGAGTAAGGCCATTAACCTGCAATTGCTTTGTCCTGGGTATGATGTTAATCTGCATCCAGCCCTGTAGGGAGGTCCTACAACTTACAGGGAAATATAGGGGTTGGTGGCAGGATTGGCACTCCAGCCAGGAAAAACGCACTGATCCATTCAGATTAGTGTGGTGCTGAGGTATCACCCGCCACATGGCTGCACTCAGGTTCTCATCCCTGAGGTGGTTCATTGTGTGGTGGGTGTGGCGACACGCTGTAATCAGCATATGCCCCCTTACATCTACCTTGTTAATAGCTAAAATAGGCTATTTCAGCTGTAATGAGACACTAGCTGGTTCAGCATCTAGAGTTAATGGCAGCTTTTGTATACGCCATGCTTTTCCAGATTTCTAAATAAATATTTCAGTACTGGCATGTACACTTAACATTAACTTACAGTTAGGTGCCCTGAGTGTCCATTCATAGCACAAACGGTGTAATTACTGTTATAACAAGTCTAAAACTACACGAGACTGAGATATTTAGTAAAGTGTACTTTGAACAATTGACTCTGAGGGACAATGCACACCCTTTGGATTTCCAGGTTATGTATTTACATATATATTGCCAAATTAAGTATTATTTTTATCACTACACTTATGTACACTCCAGGTGGATAAAATATTTCATATTTCTCATTCTTTTGTGGTAAACCCTTTTGACATTTTCAGGCGGATTCAGTATTTTTGTAAAAAATGGTACAACTGTCATTTCAAATGACATGAAATCAACACGAATGCAAAATGTACATTTTAACAAACCTGATGCATGCTTTTTAAATTGATTATCTTGCCAGCCCTTATTTGTAATTGACCCAAATAGATGATACTTGACACAATATTATTGGTTAAGACATAATGTATTGTTTTGGTGAGGGGGTAGATTTATTATGGATTCAAGCACCATCGGTCCTGGAACTTTATTGTTTCTGTAAAAAAAAAAAATTCTTCTCAAAATGATCCAAAACTGTTTCACGCAATTTTCAAATTTCCTCTTGTACTGCATCTCAGAGGTGGTGTATGCATGGATTCTGACATGACCAAATGAAACAGAAATATGAAACTGCAAAGCTAAAATGTGATCTTGCTGTTCCCTGTTATGCAACAAAGGTCAACAAGAAATATTTGATGAGACATTTTGTAAAGCTATTTTGTAAAGATAGGATTTTATTTAGGCTACATTTAATATTTAATGTTTGTGTTGTTAGTTCAAAATATAGGAGTGTGTGTATGTGTGTTCAGAATTTTTCTTAAAGTTTTAATTAATCTTTAAATTTCTTGGTAATGCAGCCAACCTAGTCTATCATTACTGTCTAGAAGTACTCACATAGAAGAAGCATTTTCTTTGATATTGATTTTTTTGAGCAAATTTGTGAGCTAAGCCCACAGTGATGAGGGCATTGAAAAACCTGTTATATAGCCTCTAATGCCGGACAGAACATTTTATCTTGTCTCATTTTCCTTATTTTCATTTATTTACAAATAGTCAAACAATTATTAAATGAAGCCATTATTTTCACAGATGGTGGAACAAAGATGCAACTGGAAGCATATCATCATGGAGCCTTAAGAGGGAGATATGAAGCAGGCCATGTGACTAGGGGATATCAGGAGAGATTAAACCGAAAGGTAGGCTAGTGTCTGTCACTGTCTAGGCGGATTTCTGCCACTCAGTTACGGAGACCAACCTCATTTGAACCATCATCTCTAGCAACTGGGTTACTTCAGTGCCTTTTTAATAATTCATAGCCTGCCCTGGATTTGAGATGGCTTTGCTCCCGACGTCAGTCGAAGCAGAGCACTTTGATGGCCTGTCTTTGCTTTACTGGTACGTTTCCTTCTTTAAACCTGGTCCATTTTAGAAAGAAAGGGAAAATGTTTATGAAGACACTTGTGTAGAAGCACCGGACTTGTCGGGCAGATATTTATTCCACTTGTAGCTTTATATGCCTTTGGCTGCTTGTGTTTTAAGGTAGGACAATGTGATTTTTATGTGCAGAGTTTGCAACTGTGTCATATAAATGTTAGTGCTTTTTAACATGCAAAGAATTTTAATAGTTTACTATGGACTGTTTCATAATCTATTACCATGTTTGTTCTTCTTGTTGGTCACACCAGGAGATCGGCTGTTTATATTGAACATATGCTGTTATATTGCGTATATATTGTAGCAGAGTTCACTGCAAATGTGGAAGGTGAAATGATTTTTTTGTATGCAATTTACATGTAATCTCTACAGTATCTTGGGTCTTGATTCTTTGGTAGGTGCAAAGTTATTTACCATTAATAGACAGGACAGCATGGGCTTATTTTTAACTCTGGACATAGTCTGATGTGGCATGCGGACGGTAAGGCAGATTAGATGGAATTAAATGATCAGTTTAATGTTCTGTGTCTGACAGTGTTTTACTTTCTCCATCTTAGTAATGGTAAAGCTAATTGATGTCACACACACACAGAGCATACTATAGCGATGTGACTTTTCATTTAAAAAATGAAGGCCAAGCTGCTTATTTGAAGGTAAACTTCATAAGTAATATTTTAACCCTATACAGTATTTACATAATTAAGTTGGTTATATCATGTCCTGATAAGTCTGAGAGAGAAGTGTTTGGCCGTATGGAAATGTGATAAATGGTGTGTAATCTATATGAGAATTGCAGCACTTGCACTGCAGAGACCCTTTGACATAGATGGACAGTTATGTATCACTAGAGACTGGAGATAATTTATTGGTCGATTTATGTATGTGATTTCTTGATTTTTCCCTTTGTATTTGTAACACACTGGCTCATGCAGAGCTTCTGCTTTGGGGAAGTTAGCAAATTCCAGAAGTGTCTTCTAAAGAGTGGTCAGCTAAAATCAAACCATTCAGTTAGCGGCGAGTTATGGAGAATCTGGTGCAGAGGAAATGTGAGGAAACATTGTTACTTGGTACATTTCATTTTAATACACTGTTAAAAAGTATAGAAATTTGCAATATTTGATTAATTTTATTGAACGCTAATACCTTAAAATGATTTTTTTTTCAGTTATTAACCACAAGTTTAATGGTTGTCAGGCTTTTGATGTTAGAGCTATGCAATAGGTTTTACATAGTTTTTTTTTTTTTTTTGGTTAATAAACATTCTTCTGTTTTGAGAGTAGTGTCAATGTATTAAGTGAAATGAAATATTATAACCATCAATATAATCTCGACAAATATTTGAAACAAAGCAAGCAGACTATGGTTGTATGTTTGCTAACTTAGTCGACATGACTTGTTACCTGCATCTGTCCATTACTGAAGACAGTAGCATACATGTAAGGTAATATGCACACCCCTTTAAGTGACAGTTTCAAGTGACATATGAAGATATTCCAAGAGTCTGGTGTCCAATGTGTTGGCTGCTGCTCCTATCACAGTTCAAAAATTAAATTTCCGTGAGCTAATTGCTCACTACACTTGTAGATGCGCTGGTCAATGCCACGTTATGAAGTATCCCCCAACATTGCTTACACATTAGGCTATATTATATTATTGTTGAAGAAAAATAATACTGATTTGGAATGACTAATATCTGTATTTCATTTAAATTACTCATCAGATCTCAAATACATTACATGGACAAAGTATTGAGAAACACCTCTTAATCTTTGAATTCAGGTGTTTCATTCAGACCAATTGCCACAAATGTATAAAATTGAGCACCTAGCCATGCAGTCAGGTTTACAAACATTTGTGAAAGAAAGGGTCATTCTGAAGAACTCAGTGAATTCAGGCATGGTACTGTCATAGGATGCCACCTTTGCAATAAGTCAGTTTGTGAAATTTCTTCCGTGTTAGATATTCCAGTCAACTGTAAGTGGTATTATTGCAAAGTGGAAACCTTTAGGAACAACAGAATCTCAGCCATGAAGGGGCCGACCACGTAAAGTAACAGGGGTTGCAGAGTGCTGAGACACATAGTGCGTAAAAGTCGCTATCGCTCTGTTGACTCAACACCTGCAGAGTTCCAAACTTCCTGTGGCATTAACTCCAGCACAAAAACTGTGCACTGGGAGCTTCATGGAATGGGCTTCCATGGCTGAGCAGCTGCATGCAAGCCTCACATCATCCAGCACAATGCCCAGTGTTGGATGGAGTGGCGTAAAGCACGCCGACTCTGGGCAGTGGGAACATGTTCTGTGGAGTGACAAATCACGATTCTCTGTCTGGCAGTCTGATGGATGGGTCTGGGTTTGGCAGATGCCAGGAGAACGTTACCTGCCTGACTGCATTGTGCCAAATGTAAAGATTGGAGGAGGAGGGATAATGGTATGGGGGGCCAACTCCATATTGATGCCTAAGGATTTATAATGGAATTGTCATACAAGTTCCTACAGGTGTAATGGCCAGGTGTCACAATACTGTTGTCCATTTAGTGTGTATCGGTTGAAATGTACGACCATTATTAACAGTATTTATAATATTATCTAATATAATATAATATCTGTTTGGCAGATAATTTATTTTCTGAAATAAATTTTCAAGTCAGATATTAATTTAAGTGATGTTCAATCATTTTATGAAGTCACTGTAACATTTATTTTGGTTATTTATATATATATATATAAATCATTTTTTAGAGTGGAAATGGACGTTTCAGATGGAAACATGAAAAGGTTTGTACTTTTTGCAGAAGCCTTAGTTTGTATGCCTGAATGAGGTAACTTCAGTATGTTGGCCTAAATCCCACCCAATCCAATTTCTGTCTAGCAATCTAATTACCCTCTCAGACTGACTGAAAGTGAACTGTTTACCGTGCAACCAACAATTCAGACTAATTATCTTCTCTCTCTCTCTTTGTTTGTGTTTGAAATTGTTTGTAAACATGTTTTCTCCTGTAGTTTCTCTGTAGTCAGTTAATAGTAGGATTTTTTTACGCTAATGACACAATAAATAAGTCATGTTTGATCTGTGTTGCTGTACTAAATGGAAATATAGTTCGCTTTTATGTTTCTGTAATAAAAAATAAACCTAGATGGCAGCTTTGCAGTGGTAAATATTTGCTTCACATTTTCATGGCATTTGAGATGAATTCTTTGAGGTCCCCTGCATATATATACAGTATGTACATGATGTTTTTCTGAGGAATTTCTCAATTGGCCAATGAGTTGCCAGTGTTTACTGCAAGGTTCACCAGAAATATCTGCATATTGTTTGAGCACCCTCGGAGTCTGTCTAAATCATTTTTTTAATCTCCTTTTCATTTATCTCTATTTCTGCAGCTTTGTGTATGTTGTAATATCCGTGTGGGTTGGTTATTTTCCAGAAAACCATATGAAGATTACAATCTAATAATTTTTAGAAAATAAACTATTCAGTTACATTTCATGCACCCTCAGTATCTCAGGAACCTTAACTCATTGTTAAATATTTGCTAGATTTTTTTCAGAGCTCAGGTCTGTGGTCAACAATGTTCTGATTGAAAGTGTTTATATTCTGCTTGTATTTCGAGAGGATTTACCAGCAACAGAGATTGAACAGATTTTCCTCAACGCAGCACAAAGCTGTAAATGCTGATTTTGTTTGGAAAAATGTAGTTAACAACCTGATTCTTTGTTGTGAGATGCTCACTGTACAGCTATACTCTGCCAAATCATGAAACCTACACAAAATTCAATTCACAAAAACAGAATAACTGATTGTCGATCACCTATTTTTTGTTTCTTGATCACACTCAGCAGGACACCAAAGCATCCCGGATGATGTGTTTTAATGTAAACTCTATGCGTGACTTTTTGGTAATTGTGCTTATCCAGAAAGGTCACATGCAGGAAGCAGCATGTGTCAGAGAGTGTGTGATGAGAAAGCAAAATGCTCCTCCCTCTCTCTCTCTCTCTCTCTCTCTCCAGCATGCTGTAGATCTTTCTCTCTGCATCTCTGACCTTCTGGGGTCATGTTTATTTTGCAGATGTGCCACACGGCAGCTGACACATATCACATCCTAACGTCCGGTAGGTGCAAAGTTATTTACAACAGTTCCATTAATAGACAGGACAGCATGGGCTTATTTTTAACTCTGGACATAGTCTGATGTGGCATGTGGACGGTAAGGCAGATTAGATGGAATTAAATGATCAGTTTAATGCTGTGTGTCTTAAAGTTTTTTTACTTGTAATCTTACTTGCTCCATCTAAGTGATGGTAAAGCTAATTGATGTGGCACACTTCAGCATACTACGTACGCCAATGCGGACTTTTCATTTAAAATGTGAAGGTCAAGCTACATATTCAAAAGTAAACTTCAGGAGCTTCGTAATCCTGCATTTACATAATTAAGTTAGTTATGTGAGAGAGAAGTGTTTGGCCGTATGGAAATGTGATAAATGGTGTGTAATCTATATGAGAATTGCAGCACTTGCACTGCAGAGACCCTTTGACATAGATGGACAGTTATGTATCACTAGAGACTGGAGATAATTTATTGGTCGATTTATGTATGTGATTTCTTGATTTTTCCCTTTGTATTTGTGACACACTGGCTCATGCAGAGCTTCTGCTTTGGGGAAGTTAGCAAATTCCAGAAGTGTCTTCTAAGGAGTTGGTCATGCTAGAGGTGCCAGCATCACCTGGACAGGAGGTCATGGAGGGAACTATGTCTGGTTTATTATATTCATATTCTTACGCTTTGTGTAGCAAAACTGCTGATTTCATTGAGTTTCATCACCAATCAGTATTACAAGGAAATCATTATTCTCCTTAAAAATTGAAAACATTTTTAGTGTCCATCATGAATGAACAATAATCAACGTTTTACTACTTAATTGGCTTAAACCTTGTAATGTGCTTTTATGCTTTCAAGCTGGAGAAAACAAGTCTCACCACCAATGCCTTAAATAACGAAAAACGAACATATTCCCATCATTAGACTATAAAAAATATTTGCATTTATTCATGTGGCATTGTGTTGTGTTTCTGTGTTGATTCACATCAGTTGTTTCACCAGATACAAGACGAATAAGTTCTGTATCCAAGAATACAAAAAACACACAAAACCTTTTTGTACTTTGTTAGAAATGAGAATCTCAGATGAATCTATGACTAGATTTGAACTTTCTTGCAGATGTCTCTAAAGTTGTGTTTGAATCAGGTAACTTCAATGTGTTGGGCCAAAATCCCTCCCATTCTGAGTTCAGTCTGGCAGTCCTATCATCCTCTCTGACTAATTATATGTGATGTATTTACCTTTCAAACAACAATTCAGACCAAAATGCTTTCTGTCTTTCTCTCTCTGGGTGTTGGAGATAAAGGTGCTTGTAAACATTTGCCCTCCAAAGTCAAAGATCCTCTGCAATCAATTGATAGTAGCAATTTTATTGCTAAAGTTTTGTGTCAGGTGACTTAATAAGTAAATCAGGTGATACCTACATTGCTGTATGGAAAAGAAATGTAGGTTATTTTAGTTTGTCTTTATTTATTTTTTTAACAGATCTAGATGGCAGATTTCCAGTGGTAAATATTTGTGGTGGATTTGTATTGCAGTTGAGATGGAGGGATCTGTGGTCTCCTACATACATACAGCATATGCAAGATGTTCTTCTGAAAAATTTCTTGAATAAGGCCAATGAGTTGTCAGGGTTTACTGCAAGGTCGATCAGGGTTACCGGCATATTGTTAGAACATCCTTAGATTCTCTCAAAATGATTATTTTTAATCCCCTTTTCTTTTATCTCAATTTCTGGAGCTTTGTGTATCCAGAAATATTTGTGTGGGTTGGTTATTTTCCAAAAAACATATGAAGATTGCAATCTGATCTAATCCGTTTGCAGAGCTCTTCAAATCCATTTGACATACCCGCAGTATCTCAGGAACCTTAACTCACTACTAAATCTTTGCTGGATGTTTTTAGAGCTCAGGTCTGTGGTCAGCAATGTCCTAGTTGAAACTGCTTATTGAATGTTTCTTCCTGTTTGTTGGGAGAAGTAATAGCAACAGAGATCAGACACCTATTTAGTCAGATTTTCCTCAGTATAACACACAGCAGTAAATTGCAATTCCATGTTGAAAAATATAAATAATAACCCAACTCTTTGTGGTGGGATTTTCATTGTACAGCTATACTCTGCAAAATCATCAAATCCACAAATAAAGCAAGCCGATTTACGTAAACAGAGTAATTGCTTGTTAATCACCTTTTTTTTTTAATCACACACAGCAGGACAAAGAGGCATTATCCCAGATTAGACGTTTTAAGTGTAAATGGTTTGCAGAGCGCTTATGTAGAAAGGTGAGTGTGTCAGAGAGTATGTGATGAGAAAGCAATAAGCTCCTACCTCTTTTTCCCCAGCATGCTGTAGATGTCTCCGTCTGCATTTCTGACCTCTGAGAGTCATGCCTGTTTTGCAGCTGACTCATCTTTCTCTGTGCATTCCTTCACCATCTCGAAAATTGATGGAATTTTTTTTTTATTGCTGTTCAGCATGACAGATATGTGTCCCTGCAGGAAGACTCTATATGTTATTCATTCTCAGGTGCTGAAAAAAACATTTTATGTTTACCTTTTATATTTCTAGGACTCTGATGGGACCCCATGGTATCAACAGGGCAGTACAGAGAGTGGAGTTTTCTGACTGCAAGAACGGACTGGGTTAGTTCCCCCTAAAACTTTAGCATCATGCATGGAGAATAGATCGGTTTTATGGCCTTTTCTTTTGACTCTCCCTTCCTTTTCCTCAAACAGGAGTGAAAATCATCGGGGGTTACAGGGAGCTCACCGGGGAAGAGTATGGAATATACATCAAGAGAATCCTGCCGTGTGGGATTGCTGCTCAGGATGGTACGAACCCCGGTGTGGCTGCTTTGTGGTGCATGTAGCATGTTCCTCTACAGCCACGTAATAATAGGCACTGGTTTTGTTTTACAGGGCGTCTTAAAACAGGGGATCTTATTTTGGACGTCAATAACATGGGTTTAGGTGGAGCTACAAATGAAAGGTGAATGTTGTTGTTTTCATCAATAGTAGTAATAGATAAAGTAGTACAAATGTCAATGAGAAAAAAAGAGTTCAAAGGCTATATTTTTATAAGTAAGATTCTTTAATGCAGCTGTTTGAAGAGAGCAGGTATTATCTCTTCCCTGCCTTTTTGAGTGTGTTAGATATGTATTGCTTTTGATGTTGCTGTACCCCCTTCTGGAGATCAGCTTGTTTGGAATGTCTGTAAATACCCCTGGGGCTCAGCTGAAGCTTAGTGTGGGCAATGACACTATTTTTGGTCCGTGTCCACAGGGCTGTGGAGATCCTCCGTATGGCTTCAGCTTCTAACCACATGTCTCTCCTGATTGTTCGGGATGACGAGTCCAGGTGAGGGCGTACAGTTAGTGAGAAGTTTAACATACTAGTTCCTCAAAATGCAGACTCAAGCACGAGGGGAAAATATCTTCTCATCTTAAACGTAAATGGCCTCAAGTGCAGAACTTCAGCTGTTGAAAAACTGTATTATATTGTCTTTTTAAGTTACAATAAAACTAAATCTTATCTCAACCCACTCCTAGGATTTTTATAGAGTACACTATAAAGATTTTTTTTTTGAGTAGTTCATGCATTAGATATCTAGAGGCTGAACTCTTCATTGCAGCTACACTGCAAAAAGATCATACATTCAGTGACTTTATCATCAATCAAGATATCAAAACTTAACATCTGGTTTCAGTATAAAAGAACTAATTGGATTCTGTAAATTTTCATTTTTCACCAGAGGATAATTATTTAATGGGCAGAAGGTCATACAGTTGATTAAGAATACATTTTTTAATTGTTTTTATTGTTGATTTCACGTAATTTAAATCAAGGTCTATAATCATATTAAAATTCGATTATAAGTATTCATTGGGATTTACTATATCTCAATAAATTAAAGTAAATAAGGCATGTGTGGTAAATTTAACCCTAACTAAAACTAAAACTAATTCAAAAGAGTGATTTTAGAGGAACAAATTCTCTTTAGAGGAACAGATTCTCACTTGTTGTCAAATGCATGGTGACATATTGGGGGCATAGTTCTGCAGTGACCTGTTAGGGATTCTTGCATCTTAATTTTAAAGCCAAAGAACAAAACCACATTCCAGGCCATATGAATCTATTCTAACTCTTCAACTATATCTAAAATTTTGCATTCCGAAGTGCATAGAAATTTCTCTAAGAGTAATCTTTTTCATTTGTATAGTTTTTTTGGGAGTGCTTTACATTAAGTGCACCTTCATAATGCATTCATTATGCATTCATAGAACATTCAGTGCACCTTCAGAATCCATTCATAAAACTTTCATAAGCAGCATGCAAGTACACTTTAACATCCTTACATCCCTTAACAGCTTTAATATACATTAATAACAAACATTACATGATTATAGAATTATATTGTTATTATATTGTTATATATTGTTATATTGTTATTATTATATCATGTTTGTCATTGTATATTACAGCTGTTAAGGGATGTTAGGATGTTGAGGTATACATGCATGATGTTTATGAATGTTTTATGAATACGTAATGAATACATTATGAAGGTGTAATGAACGTTTTATGAATGCGATATAAAAGCATTATGAAGATGGAGTTAATGTAAAGCGTTACTGTTTTTTTAATCCAAGCATCAGAGTTCTCCTTTTTTTGTCTGAAGATTATTATTTATGCTCGAGATTATTGATGAAATGCATCTTCTAATTATGAACACTTTGGTGTAGTACATTTTACTCAAACTTGTTTACCTTGTTTACCAATCAAATGTTATTAAACACAGGTAATTTCCCCACACTCATGGTGTATTTGGTACAAATCGATTATAAATATTATTTCATCAGTTATTGTTAGTAGAAAAGTCAGGTAAATTAGAGTTTATTTTTCATCATTTAAATGATCCATGTTGTTTAATGGATTTACAGATATTTTGATCCAAACTGGAATTAATGTGTAATTGTCCACAATGAGGAACCATTGTACTCCAGATATTTGTCAAAACCTGCAAGAGTGTCCAGGAGAGGGAGACAAAGCATTACATTGATAATCTTCTAAATGCCGGAACAAACACAGCATTCTATATCACAATTTCAGGAAAGAATTTTTGGAACTTATAGGAAAGTATGGCTGCACCAGTAGCACAGGCTGTGGAATGATCTCTCCGACACAGTTCTCCGCAGGTGAGCTGAAGACCAGTCCTGCTCCTCCAGCATCTTCTTAGACCAGTGTTTCCCAATTCGGTCTTCGATCACCCACAGATGGTCCACGTTTTTGCTTGGGAGCTGGGAGGGAGCAAAAACATGGACCGTCTTGAGGGTCCCCAAGGGTCTGGTTGGGAAACACTGTCTCACACAATGATCCCACTGTAATTTTTGTCCTAAATATATTAATTTGTAAAGGTGAATGTATAATGTATGTGTAATATGAATACAATATTTGGCAGTATATCATTTACTTTTTCTGAGGTTGACTGATATGTATGCAATCACAGCTTGATGGTACTACAGGCAGTGCCCAGGTTAAGAATTAGAAAGCCCTTCTCTCAAACAGGGTTCCGACATGGAGATCCTCTCAGGTCTCTGAACCCCCTTATTGCACAGATGTAAAGTGCCTTTGGGTCACCATGTTCTGGACAGTATGTAGGTACGATATACAGGCCATCTCCGGGTTAAGCATGTCCGGCTCGTACTTACCTACAGACTACCGCAAAGCCTACTATATTAATAATTTGGGTTAAACACAATGGTTCAAAATAACAAACGCAGCACATACTTTGTGACGCTCGTGAAAACATTGCATGATTTCAGCAGTTTGTCAACTTGAGGTACAGTACAGTACCATATGTAGTTACTTGTATTATTAATGTTTAATTCTTGTTATTATGTATTGTATGATTATTTTTTTGACTTACCCATAACATCGACATAAAGACAGACTTAAGGAATGGATCTCGTTCGTATCCTGGGAGCCGCCTGTAGTTTACTGGCCTGTAAACACACTAAAAGATGTGTTTATGATTGACAATCAGACTAATAACTGACCCGTTTTCAGGGAAGCTGACAGACACGGCCTCGTCCTCCTCCTCCTCCAGATCTACCAGCCCACTGCTGCAGAGCCCAAAGGAAGCAGGCTGCGTTGGGGGGGGCACTGCCCCCTCCGCCCCCATCCTGCCTCAGGCTTTCAAGTGAGTTTCACAGACACAAGCACTCTGCTGTTCAGTCATTGAACTAAATTCTTTATTGACTGGACATAAGAATAAGTAATATGAACACAATGTTAAATTTAATTTTGCGAGCGATGGGGGGAGGAGCCTGGAGCCTAGAGCCTGCCCCAGACAGCACAGGGCACAAGGCAGTAATGCACCTTGATTGAGATGCTAATCCAGTGCAGCACACATGTCCAGAATTCCCTTGCACATGCTATGAGGCGATGATTACCCAAACTCCTTGTCTTTGGACTGAGGCAGAAAGCCTGTGCAACAGGGGACACACAAGCAAACTCTACACGCAGGGTAGGGTGAGACCCATGTGTGAGGTGACCGTGATTTCCACTGTGCCACCAATTTGTCTTATAAAGTAATCACAATAACTGTTTTCTGATAATAACAATAATGCCTGTTGTTATCATCATTAAAAAAAAACTATCCATTTCACAAACAAGTTCTTATGGTTGCTGCCATTTGAAGTTGAATATATTAGATTATAAGTCATCAGGCTGAGTTTGAAGAATGAAGAAAAAGAGGATCGGTGTTTCAAAGGGGCCGAGCAAGGAGCAGAAAATATTCTGTAATCAATATATCAGTGCCTGAGCTTGATTGGTATTCACAAGAATCAATGAAAAGATCAAGTTGAAATCCCTTTGTGAAATGATTCTGCGGCTCTCAGTAAGTGCATCTGACCTTTAATTCCGCCTTCTGTTCCCTCAGTGATGCCGCAATTCAGTTGATATGTGTTGCCAAGGGAACAGGCCTGGGCCTGGTCATCAGGGGTGGAGCTAACCGGGCAGAGGGCCCTATGGTGTATATTCAGGATATCGTGCCAGGGGGTGACTGCCACAAGGTGACTCTTAATACCTTTCCCTACCGTTGAGACTTATTCAGATTAGCGCTGAAGTGTGTTAATTTGTGGTCAATCAGGAAGACAGCCAGACACAAAATGTGCCCTCCAGGGTCCTCCAGTAATATTGTTCACTGCATTACAGCTTGAGAGTTTGTCATATTCACATTTTTAAAAATATAGATAAATAATGATACAATGTTTATAAAATATTTTAAAAACGTCGCAGCATTCAGAATAAGCAATGATTTCTAAGAAATAAATAATTAAAGATGTAATTAAAAGTTTCTCAGTGAATTTCAGACGTTTGCTGTGAGGATTCAAACATTGTTTTCTATTCATGAAAAAAAAAGTACATCTTGACATGGATGCAGTCAGTTATAAAAATAAAGTTGAACTCTCTTAGATTCAAATAGCTGATTTGGTACAGCGGACTAAGACAAAGTTTTGGCAATTATTTAATTGACACTTTAGTTAGATTTTCTACATTGAGTTAATTTCTACCTGGATACGTGATACTAAAATTAACAGAACAATGTGGCAGGATGCTCTAACTGTCCAGCTGAACACAGGCCTGGTCTCCTGCCTACATGCAAGGTGTCGTCTAAAGCAGCCCTTAGTGTTTCAGATTAATGCCGAAAGTACCCAGGGCTGGTGTGGAAAATCTCACCCTCTCTTCTGAATATCATTAAAGGAAAATTTAAAGAATAAGTGTATTTGGAAATAGAATCCAGTTGAGTGGTGTAAATTTAGAGAAAATTATTTGAAAATATTGAGTCTTGTTGGTATTACGTTAACGATCAGATTTGCTGCAGTCTTTTTACAAAACCAAAACCCAGTGTGCTTACAATGTAACTTGAAGATCTTTCAGTCAAGTAATTGTGACATAATTTTAAAAACAAATACATTTGTTTCATTATCTGCTTTCATGCTTTCACCAGAGACCATATGGTATTCACATATGTATCCTTTAGGATGGACGGCTTAAGGCAGGAGACCAACTCATATCTATAAATAAAGAATCATTCATTGGTGCGACTTACGAAGAGGCAAGAAGCTTACTAAGCCGTACAAAATTAAGGTATGTATATTATACTGACATTAGTAATGCTTTCCCCAAAAGTAATTTCATTTTTGAAATGTATATGACATTTCTTGTTTGAAATACAGCTGTGTAAAAATTTATGAGATCACTCTATACAGGCACTCTATACTTAATGACCTACCTGTTTAATGACTGCCTGGACTGACGACCAGCTCTCCGACCAGTCAGTATTGTTCGCTGTACGAGAACTTTGGCGGTGGAAAGGGCAGTGAGGAGTCTCAGCGTCAAGCACCTCATCTTGCATCATCCTTTCTCAGTCTCAGTCGCCGTCTCAGTCTTGTGCCTGGAGTCAGTACACTAGCATTCACAATCACATATTTTGTCTATTAATTTGTACTTTATTGTGCACCCCACAGTACAAGATGTTGGCAAAAAGGATTATCTTTATACATAATAAATAAAAACTATTACCTGTATTTGCAGTATGCAAACCTAAGTAATATATATTAGAGCTGATTTCCTCTATTCTTATGCCTGAAATATTGGTAAGGGGTAGCTCCTCGCTGATCGACCAGTTTGCTTAATGACGTAGTTTGTAGGAATGGAACTCAGTCGTTAAGTGAGAACTGGCTGTATTTTTAAACAAATCTGCATTTTAAAAACCTGGTTTAATCATGGCTCTGCTGGCAGCAGGGTACACTGAGCCGCAGGCTGTTCCCAGGACCAAAATTTCTAAAACAGCAGTACAAAAGAATAAGGTGAAGCAGGAGACACTGGGAATGATCAGAAACCAGCCAGGTAAAGGGCAGAAACGACTTTCTAATGTCAGAGATGACCGTGAACTTAGTGTCTCATGAATTGGAGGATGAGATCAAGTGACCTTCAAAAGGAATGGGAAGCATTAAGTGCAGGTGTGAAGTGCACTGCTTGGACAGTGTGTACCAGGCTCCTGATGTCTGAAGTCTCATAAAGCATGGGAGAAACCCTTCGTTATTGTGAAACAGAGAAGAACCAGGCTGCAGTATGCATATATATACTGTATATATATATACACACACACATTCACAGCTGTACAACGTTACATTGAGAAATAAGTGAAACAAGAACTTGTGTTTTGGTCTTTTATTTTTTCCCATGGCTGTATACTAGAATACTTATAACACTAGTATCCCTGTGCAATACGGTTTAAATGCTCATACTTTTTAACATAGTCATAGATTTTCTACATACTGTAGCATTCTTGTAGTTGACAAACGGTGAGGTGACTCAGAAGCCTGGTCAACTTTGCGACTTGCAGTCAGAAAACAGAACGAATCAGAATTATCACTGTGCTGGCTTGCTGTCCTCTGAGATTGGTTTTTAGATAGAACAGGGATATTTTTGTTGCACTTAATCCAGCATTACCCAAGTATCTCCTTAAAAAACCATTCACACATATTCACAGTCAGAGGGTGCCCACAACTTGCCTTTGTGTATGAGCCTACACTACTGATTTTAATCATTTTGCTTAATATTGAACAGGTACTGTATATTTAAGTTCTCTTGAAAAATGGATTTTCCAAAAACGTTTTTCCTAAGACTATCCTTAGAAGAATACACGTGGTCCTTATAAGTGAGGGAAACACCTGGATTGAGAATTCTTGCTCTCATTGTACCTGGGAAAATATTCCAATGTGAAAATGTAACATGGCAGACAATAACCTTTTGTAGAAAGGAAGATTATATTAATGTCAATGTTATGTGTCTATGGGATGAACTATACTCTCATTTTAACTACAAGAAGTAAAAGTAAAGCATCGGTGATCTGAATCTCTATGGTATGTTTCACTTACCAAGCACTGTATTTTTCACTGAATGTTAGGGGAATAAATACCAAGTAAACATGTCAAGTGTTTCAGATTTGGCACCTCTGGTCAGTCATGAAGGAGGGACACCCTAGGCTTCATGTCAGGCCTTTGTAAGGCACACGTTCACAACCCATGGACAATGTAGACTCCAGATCACCCTTAACTACATGTTTTTTATTGCAGGAGGAAATTGTGTGCATACTTCGCCAGAACATCAGGCTACCATTCTGTATGTTGTAGTTTTAATGATGAAATAATCACTGACGTACCGGGATACACAAGTCCTACATTTATGAAATGTGACCTTGGATTATTTATTCGGGGACCTATTTTTTTAATCTTTACAATGAACAAAATTTCCACAGGGGCATCCCAGTTAGACCCAATCAGATGGCGGCAATGGTTAGCAAAATGCTAATGTACACCTGTTTTTTGGTGATGACAGTGTAGCAATGCAGTTTTACTATGAGGCATAATTATGTATGACTGCAGTGTTATGTAATATGATTTTAAATCAATAGTTAAGGCACCTTGCATCAGAAATGGAGGAAAGGCAGACCAAGAAGGACAAAATAACATGCATTTAGTCAGTATAATTGTCATCTTCAGATAAAATTTCCATCACTGGAGAAGTTGTTGGGTCCAGCTCAAAGCCCTTGTCCGTTCCCGCGTCCCACACATTTACACTGTAGGCATTACTGAAATGTTGTTAGCACAACCATCTGGTGTTCTTAGAAGGACATTTTATTTTTTTTATTATTTGTACTATTTTTATCTTATTCTCTTTTTTTTACTGTGGTGTTATGGGTGCTATTATGTGAAAGTTTCCCATTTTAAAAAGGAAAAACTAATCCAGTATATTTATAACACCTAATGGTGCATAAGATTTTTTCTAGATAAGTGCATGACATCATCACTGTTATACAGATGTAACTGAAGCTGAAAGTATATGATTAGGCAGGTAGCTATTATTCACTGAAGATATGGTTTCAGCATAGAATATAAATGCTGTCCTGCAGTAGAAAAGATTTTTCTTCTCTTACATTCCTTTACCTATATGTGCAACGCTCCATTGTGGATGATGCTTCCATATGCTGTATGAACAACTGGAACTTGGCAAGTGTTGGCTCCTGGGAAAGTGTAGCATATCTTCTTGAAGACCAGCCATCAAATGTGAATGAGGTTCTCCATTGAGGCTAGTCAGACAGCATGCTTTCCTGTATGCTACGTGTCATAGTTGCAATGGGAGGTTTACTGGGACAGAGAGAACCATAACATGCAGGACCCCACCCTTGCCTTGCTATAAGCTCTACGTTCAGTGGTCCTCACGTGCATCCTTGTGGTTTCCCATTGCAGGCCAGACCCCACTACTGAGATTGTCTTCATTCGCCAGAGGTCTTCCCTCAGCCCCGGCAACAGTCCCCAGAGTCCCATCTCCCTGCAGCCGGCACTTTGTGGGGATGGCCAGTCACTGAGGCCCACAGGGCTGGGCTTGCTGTCGCAGTCTGGGAATCTGGTCCGAAGGGTTTCCTGCGCTCCCTGTCCTGGAAGTCAGACCCTGCCTTCGGTCCAGCTAAGTCAAGTAAGGCTGAACTCCCTCTCGAAAGCTGTGTAGTATCACCATTTTGTCTTGTTAGCGTAAGTAAAAATAAGTACAGGCATATACCTAGATCACTATGCCACATAACTGTGGTGTGGTTTATACAGTGCTGTGTTCAGGCCGGGTGGAACTCGCAGCCCTTTGTCATGCATCGCTGTAGGTTCGAAGCTTTCCCCCAGGGAAGGAGAAGCCCTCTGCTGCACAACCTGATAACACCACAGCTGCATACACTTGCCCAGGTAATAAGTCATTCTTGCAGAAATTTTAAGTCTTCTGCCTCTTTATCTAATGAATCAAAAAATCAGCTGAGTAATCAGGCCTGATCCTCTGTTTAAGAATCAGCATGTCTGACCTGTAACCTGAAGTTCTGTGGTTAATAAGCAGCCTTTCCTTAAAAGCAGAAGTTTCAGCAGGATAGTTTTAGCACTTTTCCATTCTGAAATGTATGTAAAATAATTGAATACAGAGGCTTTTCTTTATTTACTTTGATTTTTTTTATTTAACTGTAGTGCTTTGGTGATATTTTTCTGAGAAAAGCACTTAGTTGATTAAATTGGGTCTTACAAAGGAAATTCATTTGGAACTTATTTTTTTCTTCTTCAAAGTCAATGACTGTTGTTTAAAGTGATATAGCTTAGCCTAACTGGTATGATTGTTTCTAATCAAATGGTTACTATACATTAAAAGGAATATTACTGATGTATTTAAAAAAAAAAAATACAAGATTTATTAAGTATCATTCTTATGCAAATGACCACAGTCTCAGAGCAGGAGAATGAGAATGGTTGCTAGGTAACATAAAACAGTTCTCAGTGGAACTAGTTGGCTAATGGGGGGCAGAGCCACACTGGCTGGCTATCCATAAGCACTGTACTAGGATGCTAATAACTGTGCGCTTTCTTTGGATGTTTCTATTAGTTTCATTAGTTTCATAAGTCCCATTCGTTTTGCCCTTTATTGGTCTTAAGTGGTCACTGTTTTATATTTACTTGGTGTTTATTTGTCAGCGTAACCTAACGTGACAGTCTTTTCTCATGCTCGGTCACTCTTGGCTCTCTATACCTTCAATCATAGGCCTGAGATCATTGCTGCAGCAGGGTGCTATGAAGGTAGCGTTATGCATATGGTATATACAGTGATGCCTACAACTTTGCTGTATCATTATGTTCCACACAGGCAGATTGCTGAAGTGCCAGAGAGGAGTACTGATTTGATAACACTGTAAAGGTCAGCCCTTCGGAACAAAAGCGGTATGCTGCAGTCATGCTATGCTTTTCACAAGCCGGACAGCCACCTGCCTTTAAAGTGGATATGAATCAGACAAAAAAATAGATTACTAGTGACTACATATACTAGTGATGGACAAAATGATGCTCCATGAACCATTTGCTGTATTTTTTGACTCCACTAGATGGTGCTCTCCGTTCAAAAAGGGCACAAATCATGCACCAAAGCAAGCCAAGAACACCATGCAGTGTGGTCAAAAAATACAGCAAATGGTTCACGAAGCATCATTTTGTCCATCACTAAAAAATACGGTTGATTTACCTTTTTTTTTGTTTTGTATAAAATATAACACACAAGTGTGTGCATGATAAAAGTGCTAACCCCCTGATGAGCACAGCTAATCTACTAAATAAATAGCCAACAAGTAATATAATTATAATTTCTCTGAATTGTTTTATGTGTGTGAATACCGAGCAAGATTTGTCCTGACTATCTCTATAGATATTTTCTGGCAAAACTTAAAGCGTGTTGGCTGGCGATATGGTGAAAACAGTTGAATGAAAAAATGAAAAGACGGCTATACACCATATTTTCAAGTTTGGCTGACTGAGTGGAAATAAGTTTTTTTTTTTTTTTTTTTTTTAATGCAATGGAATAATAATTATAGTTTTTAAAAGCATTAACGGTGACTTTGGCTTGGGTTAATTTTTACAACAAATATCAAAGGTGGGCATTTATGACATTTTAAAGGCAGGCAAAGGCCACATAATCGAAACCTCTTCTGTCGGCGTGGGTGTGTTGCCATAGTTACCAGGAACTTTGTGAAATCACATTAATGAAAAGGTGTCCCTCAGTCAATTTAATGGGTGTTGATCACCCTTTAGGTCATGGAAATATCAATAGTGTAGCACTTAGTGAGCAAAACCTTGTTATCTGTAGTTGTGCTATGGATTTCCATTCAAATCCCTCCCCAACCAAGAGGCACTTAATGGTGTAGTTTGCATTATTGGAACGTATTAGGAAATATTTTAATGTCCTAAAACAAGAATAGGTGTGTTGTACGATGCTTCCCAGTATTACAGTTTAAAAAGTGTTTCAGTGTTTCAGTATATTCTCAAATAATGGTGAAGGATGAAGCAATTGGCTGGTAGGATGCAGGAAGGAAGAATGTGGGATTAGTATGTACAGTCTTTAGTTCTCCCAAGTATCTGCAAAGCTATGGACTGCCTGTTAGAAACAGGGTCCAGTTTGCCCAACAGCAGTCAAATGGTAATTTTCCATGCAATCATTTCAAATGAACTTTATATATATATATATAAACATGTGTTCCACAGGGTTCTCACAAGATACATTTTAATATAGTTCTAGCCACAGTGATGATGAAACTGTGTGTCCATATAGTTTAGCAAAATAAATACATTGCATACAGTAGCTCCGTATTAACAATCCTTATAACGTGCTTGAATGTCTGCCACAGGAAATAAAAAACAGCCATGTTCAGAGGACTGTAAAATGTGCAGTGCTTATGACACCCTGATGACCCGTACAGGGGGTTCAGTCCATGCGGCATCCAAATTTGAGGACCCTTCAGCTTTTGGGGGGGGGGGGGGACAATGTAGAGAAAGCTGCTGGCTGTTCTGGGAACCGCGTATCCTGTGCCAAATCGCTCCTCTGCAGGTGGAGGGGGGTTGTTTGAGGACTCTAGGGCTTCATGGAGGGCGCATTTCTGCTTCCGTACTTTTGTGTGTTCTCGATAAAAAGCTCCAGCTTTTATTTATTAACTGTGCCGAGCGTTCAATGACCATTATGCAGAGCTATTTTCAGCCAGAGAGAAGCTGGGTGTGCTGCGGGTGCCAGGCTGTGGGTGCACAGTTCCTCTTGAATGCTCAGCTCGCCAAGCCGCGTCGTAGCCCTTTTCGGAGGAAATGGTATCAGCCTCCTCGTCGTGTTTTGAGTCATCAATACCATGAGAGGAGTTTAGTTTATTCATCCTACTTCTGAAGTGCTGTGGGCCTTTTCTGTCCCACACAAGCCCTTATCAGGGATGGGAATTAAATGGATGAGAAAAACAAAAAGCTTTTCCTGTAGAAATAAAATTTTATAATTGCCACTACATTCTGAAATGCTATCTTTACATGTATTTAAACTTCTGAAAAAAGCCTCCACACTGGGCACATATTATTATTCAGATGAACAGTTTTTAGTTACTAAGTACCTTTATTTCTTTTGCAAAATGTTTTCAGCTTCATCTCCATCGATGTAAATTTAGCATGAGTGTCGTCTCTCTGTATTGTTTAATGTGCTTGACATCTGCGTTACTAACGAGAACGACCCCCGCACAGATTTACAATTCAGACAGGTCAATTTGCAAACAACCCTGGAATTAAGGTTACTCCTTCACATGAGTTTCATTTTTAAACCCTGCGGGTGCCACACAGCTGATGACTATGAAGTCTTTTTCTTACTCAGTTCAGCAAGTTCCAGAATTGTTGCTAAACTAAAATTCATTCATGTATAATTAGACCATAATAATTTGCAGACGGAATATAATGCATATTTTTGCAAATATATCTATGATATCTTTAGGTATAACAACGTAGATCAGGAGAGGGAGAAATGACCCGTCTCACACCGAGAGGGTTTTAAACTGTACTTAATACAAATGGTGGGGTTGAGGTTGCAGTAAACCCGTCCCCCCACCAAAAAAAATGTACAAGGTAGGTGATTTACAAGGCTTTTTTTTTTATCTCCTCTGTCACCCTCTGGCTTTTTGTACACTCTTTAAGTCTGTTTAGCTTCAGTTATTTTTCATTTGCCCATCTGTAATGCACATGAATGAATGAATGAATGAATGAGTGAATGAATGAATGAATGAGTGAATGAATGAATGAATGAATGAATGAATGAATGAATATCTTTATTGCGATTACATGTGTACCATGGACACTGCACATTGCAGTGAGATTAAGTTTGAGATTCACCATTTTACACATAAAACACAATAAGTTAAATAAAAATCAAACAAATTGGATAAAATAACAATGAATTTTTACTTTTAAAGAAGCAGCATCAGAACCAATACAATTTTAAAATGGTAATTAATTAACTTATTAACCACAGTTTAAGGCAGTATGTACAGTGTAAGCAGTATAGTAAACTGTATATGGCATTAGAGACAATATAAAGTTACCAGGAATGTGAAGTGCAAGTCTGGCAGTAGTAAGTAGTGCAAACAGCTCAGATGTGCAAAATAGTGCTGCAAAATGAAAAACAGTGCGAAGCAAAACAGTCAGGAGGATTATGGAGGGAGCTTGATGAGTTGATTCATGGCCTTTATAGCTCTGGGGAGATATTCCTCAGTCTGGTGGTGCAGCCGTAAGGGGCCTTATAACACATGCCAGATGGAAGAGGTTCCAGCAAACAATGGCGAGGCTGTGTAGAGTCTTTACAGATGCTGGAAGCTTTCTTGAGGCAGCGTGAGCTGTAGATGTCCTCCGGGGCTGGGAGCTGTATCTCAATGATCATGTCTGTGCTGGAGGCGACCTGCTGAAGAAATAAACTTTAAGTCTATTGCATATACTTGTAATGCTGCTGCTATGTTTAGTGTCCTGGGGGCATCGTGTTGGGAAGTGTTCTGTAAAAAAATAGATTTGGTTCTTTTTTTCAGATCGTTTCTCCTGATCACGGTGGCTCATTTGGTGGAACTGAACCTTTAGGGCCGTCGGCTGAAATTCAGCCCTGGCTTTGTGTAGTATTTACACGTTCTGTCTGTGTTTTCTCTTGGTACCTTGGGTATCCTCTCATGGTCCTAAGAAGTGCTGTTTACATGCAACAGTACTCAAATTGTCCTTATCGCACTGATCTGTGTAATTCCATTATCCTTTTGTCCCAATCTGAGATGAACCTTGTTTCTTGTTCCATACTTCCTAGGTGCATAATCACTGGCTCCAAATTAAAAAGCAAATATACGAAACACTAGAGTGGTGTGCTCCTTTTCTGTGTTCCTTAATATAAACTCATTCACTGTATTACCTTCAGTGATTCCCTTGAACATTACTTGAAGATTAGTCGAAACATCTGTATTGTAGTTGGTCACTAGGGTGTGAAATCCGCTGATGCCTGTGTCATAAAATTATATACGGTTAACATATATCACAAAGTTTTACACTGTTATTATACAGAGCCGACACACTGAGGCAGGTAGAATAGTAGGTGTGAATAAATGTGGTAGATAATGTCTCCATTTAGTGCACAGTGTCACATGCAGCTTGTGAAGGAGGACTGAGATGCTAAGGTCTATATTTAATGAAGTGAGGATTTGCATCACCAACACCCCCCCCCCCCACCACCACCACCACCACCACCTTAACGATGGCTCCTTTAAGCGTGGTACGCTCCACCATGCTGCAGAAGTTGTTTGAGTCGATGGAGAGCCGAGCTGGAGAAGCGAGACAGATGGCGGATGGCGAAGCGCCCGGCGGCGGAAGTGGGGGAGGAATGGGGGCGGCGGGTTGCCAGACTGCTCATTTGGAAGGTGTCAAGCGCTCTGCTGTCTCTGTGGAAAAAAAGGCACGCCCCCCCCCCCCATCACGCTGCGACCAGAGGAATTCCCAAATGGATGGGGATTACACTGTCATCTACCTTCTATCCCTTCAGTCTGCTAGGACGGGCGCCGACACGAGAGGGCTGCGCAAGAGGCTTTTTTTTGACTGGCGGACTGTGCCATGCTTCGCCTGTGCCCGCCAGTGAAGTGTTGAGTGTGGCGCGATAGACGCACAGCGGAACTTGGAGGGTGACAAGAAGGATGGCTAGCTGGAAGACGTCTTAATGCATTGTCTCCCTGACAATTATTCAACTGTCACATGGCGTGTATTCACACTCAAACTGAGCTCTATTCTTTTTGCTCTTTGCTTTGTAAAAAAAAAACAATAATAATAATTTTAATTATGCGTAACTTTGTTTTGCAGATTCTTGCAAAGTAGCATGACAATTGACACTAATCCTTTAGCTATGCCAGAGAACCGTCTCCTTAATAACATTTGACTTCTGAATTTATTTTCCCTGTTTCCCTTATTAGAATAATGTGGCCCATTTTCCAGTGAGCAGTATGAAAACCTCCATCATTACCTACAGTATCTTTACAACCCTCCTAATTAACATGCAGCTCCTTCATCTTGTCTTGTAATGATGTGAGTTAAAGTGAACAGCTGGATTTCAGAAATTGACACTGAATTAAAGTTTGCTGTCTAACTAATAGAAAACTGATAAGAATATTTCTAAAAGTAAAATTTTTGTCCAACAACTTGATATTTTTTTCAGTTTTTTAGTTTTTATTATTTATGTATTTGCCAGATATACCAAACCAAGCTGGCACTCAGTATGCTAAAATGAACACTGGATACAGAGAGACCAGACATATTTTAAATGAAAGTACCAGGTTGAAGATTAGCAAAAGGGTATCATATGATTTTATATGTCATGGATTAAATAAAAATGCAGCTTCACAGTTGAGATCCAGTTATATGGGGATACAGATTCTCTTTATGTCTTCAAGCCTCATAGATGGATATTCATGTGACGTGCCAGCAGTGGGTGCAGAAGATGGGAGTGAAAAAAATGTTCCAGATGCAAACCAATCTTTTAGGAACCTCCTTGCATTTACTCCCATGAGCTTCATAATAGGGACTGGTGTGTTGTGGTTCACCCTGCAAATGAGAAGAACGTGTCGAGCTGGTGGGTGGCGGAACAGCACTAAGAGATTCAAGAGCTGATACTTTACATCCTCATGGCGAATGAACAGAATTCTCAGGCCAGCGAGTACCTCAGGTATAGAAATAATTGATAACTGCTGTCCTCTTTAAAGTTTAAATAGCATGAGCTTGGAGGTTTAACTGCCTGTGGTTTAGCTGAGCTGGGTATGTTGTGTTTTGGTTTTGTGTTTGAATATTATGAGGACATCAATTCATCATCATTTTAACTCCAATAAAGTCCTTTCTTGAATAAATCCTGTTTTTATTCACCTTCGCCCCACCTTTTGACAGACCTTTGGCCTACAATCTGCCAAATGAAACTGCTTTTCCATTTGCTTCCTCACTCTAATGTCTGAGCCCTTAGAGGTTTTGGCAGTGCTAACTCCCCTCCCCGACTGTATGTGTGTTTGTATCAATAGATGCTGTGTCTGCCAGTCATACACCAACCAGCTCGGCCCCACGGATGGGATTTTCTCTTAGCTCTAGCAGTTTCTTAAAGCTGGACAATCTGGTGCAGGTCAGTTTTTATTCCTTCAGCATTATAATCAATTGCCGTTGCACGATTGTTATTGCATTTAACCAACAGAGGTGAAATTAAATGAAGGCTGCCTGTCCGACTGTGAATAATGACTAGTGAATGCTGCAGTTTTTTGTGCCACTCAATAAACTATTATGTGATGATGAAGTGAGGGTACTTTAATTTAGCCCTTTTTGTTTGTCTGAGGCAGACTGTTGTATTATTGCTGCAGCGAGTTCCCAGACCTTCCACAAAGAGTAATCAGTATTGCCTACTGATGCTAGCACTCTCAGTCTTGCTAGGGCCTATTGCAATACTATAAATAAAACTCCCTTTACCTGCCCCTGGTATAAATGGGTTTTACATTTTTTTTTATGAAAGTTGCATTTATATAGTGGTTTTCAAGGTACCCAAACCACTTTACAGAGGCAATGGGCAGTTCAACCACCACCACTGTGTAGCCCCCATCTGGATGATGTGACGGCAGCCAATCTGCACCAGTACGTTCACCACACAGTAGCTAAAGTGGTGAACGGCAAGAGAGAATTCACCTGTTAGATACAGGGGATGATTAGAAGGGCAGATCTAATAGGGCCACAGTGGGCAATTTTAGCCAGGACATTTTTACCCGCAATGTTACTGCTAGATCACATATAAAAACCATAATGTAACAGAGAGTTGGATAGCAAATATGGGCACATTAGCATTCTGTGTGAGTATGCTAATGAACCAAAATTTTAATGGGTTTGTAGGCTTTAGGGTCCTTAGGGATAAAACTCACGGAAGAACAGCGGCAGACACTGAAAGAGCGACTGTCCTCTGACTCGACTGGCCCTGCAGCTCCTGAGGGTAAGACCAAAAACCAGGACTACGGCTATAATTTATAACACTAATTCTTGCATTTCATAGTCTACCACTGAAGCAAATGCACATACCTTTGATCTGGTCTTTGATTTTGTCTTTTGAATACACCCCCCCATTGTTAATACATACTGAAATGTGAAGTGTTCCCATGTAGATCGTGAGGATGATACTAAAGAGCTGGTCGAGTCACAGATTGACGCGTCCACGTTGGGTCAAGAAGCATCAAGCGTTGCTTCAGATAATCTCCCAAGCCTGTCAAAATCTTCAGGAGAGCAACCGGTAACCCTTTCATCTCCAGTGCATGTTGATTAATGGATGTTCCTGCAATAATTTCTACAATACTTTTGAAACAAAAGAGCAGCGTCAATCTAATTTTATTACTTTTTCCTACCTGGCAGTTTAATTCATCAGATTCTGATGAACTTGAGGAGATGGAGCGATTGCGAAAGGAGCACACTGAAGCTTTGAAGAAGATAAAGAAACTTCAGGTAACACTTTTTCCTTAGCTGCATATAATGAAGACTGTAAACATACTGAACATACTGAAACGATAGCAAAAATGTTCAAAGAAATTTAGGTTATAATCAAACGATAAATATCTAAAAGCGTGTTTTTTCAGTTTTGCTTTGCTGTTAAAGCTAGAGAAAAAGCTGATGCCAAAAATACCATGTAATTAAATTTGTGTAGGAAGGCAGATGGACACATTCAACATGAGATTGGGAGGAATGCAAAACACAAGAGAAAAACATTATAAACAGTACAAAAATGCAAGGCTTACTTGTATATTAAAAGACAGCAAAGTTTCATGGAAGGCTTCAGTATATACTCTCAAAGGACATGAAAGTGTGAAATCACCACAGGATTCATCAATTTCTGAGTTTTTAGATATGACCGGTGATTTTTTATTTTTTGGTTTCTCTATGTTCACTGATTCCGCAATTGTTTGCCAGATTAAATTTCGTGCCACATGGTAAATTGTGCTCAGTAAAATTATATTTGAATTGAAGAGGATGTTCTGAGAAAAAAGAAATTTTATAGATACCATGTAATTTCTAAATGTTTCTAAATAGGATGCATTGGTCGAATCTGCAAACCACCAGCATAAGATGCAAGAAGAAATGAAGAAGGTTAAACAGGTATTTTTAAAATTTTTTTGCTCAGTTTTCTAAATTCTTAGTTTGCGTAGTTAATTAAAAGGAGCTCCACCAGGGGGAGCTCTGTCTTCATGCAGACCTTTGATATTCTGCCCTGGACTACAAAGGGTCATGAGGTTCAACACCTGCTTATTATTATTTTGTTTATATTAGCACTGAACAACAGACCACAGATAGTGGTGAAATTGGGGTGGGGGGGGGGGGGGGGTGTTGCTGGTGACTATGATTTTACTGTAAAAATAATCTCTAGACTTCACTGTCTGCAAGTTCATGAGTTTTTATGTGTTATTTTCAGGAGAGCCACGATTTTCTACCGGGGAGCTTAAGTTAAGAGCATTATGTTCAGAATGTATAAAGATATCCTGTATAGCCTGAACACTTACGTGCGGCCATTTCAGATTAAAAACAAAGTTTTCACATCTCGAACAAGTGATATATGTTGCAACAATTCTAGCAGCCTAGGAGTGTGGGAGACCGGGGTTTGATTCTCGCCACGGTTAGCCTCCAGCAGAGGTGTTTCATTGGTGTCAGAAGTGTGCAAAAGTGGCCTGGCAGCCTTACAGATCGGAAGTGAGACCTGCTTCAGTTTCATTACGTGCCCTTTCACTGGCTGTTATGCCAGGCCAGCTACATATCCAATAGAAAGGGTCCTTTGCCTATTGGCAAGGCTGCAGATATCGCTGCCTTTAGCGTGGGAGCCCCAGCGTTTATTTCTCATCACGGATGTCCCAGGCAGAGGCGTTACAATGTGAATAAATCAGCAGCAACACTTAAACAGAAGTACTATTTGTGGTTATCTCAATATAGCCTAATGTTGGGAATTTAAAAATCTGTGCTGCGCTTGTCAGAGGGGATAATCTAATTTTCCGCATTGAACTGGTTCCGAGGTGACTTTCAGTCTTTTTAAAAAAAATTTGTTAGAATAATTAAGGTGACAGAAATGATTCCTTATAAGCAAGGCATTCACATATTACGCAGACTTCCGCTTTACCTGGTAATACTGCCTGACTGTTGTAGCACTGAGGTAGCTGAACCTTTGTGACTAGGGCAATCCTGACAGTAATTTTAATAGTGAATGGTCTTTACTGCAAATCCACCACATACTTGTTTTAATTGTTTTCATTAAAAATTTAAGTACTATCGGTCATGCATTTTGCCTACTCTTGTACTTTAATAATTTAAGAATTAAAAATACAGATCATTTGGTTATATTATTAAATGTCATACATTTATAAGCTTTGTGAATATGGTTCATAAGAAATTTAAAATGTTGAAGCCTTACAGTCAGATGTACTTTCTTCCCCCACATAAAAACTGCAGTATATTATTTAAAAATGCAAGAACCCCAAGATAAATGATTATGGAACGAAGTAGAATTTTTCTTTTATCATAAGCAAACCAATCTGAGCTTTCAAAACGAAATCATGCCTGGTTACAGTAAACCTCAGAAGCACAGATACGCAAATCAGTCATGACTGATGACTGGTCTCCGCATGCTGTCTTAAACACATGCAGTATCCACTATGACTGATGACTGGTCTCAGCATGTTGTCTTAAACACATGCAATGTCCACAGCCAATCAAAATGGAGACTAGAGCCTTCATCGGCCAGCAGGATGCATTTTAAGAAGTCACTTAACATTTCAACAAAATATATAAAATGCCTTGGGGATAGAGGTGATTTCAGTGAATGAGGAATGTGGGTCAAGTTCCTTTTAAAATCCTGATATTCTTGAAGAATCACTACAAAGAACAAAACAGAAACCAATACAGTGTTAATCACTTAACAGGTTTTAATCTTATTATTGATTGGAATGTGTGCCATACACATACACACACACACACACACACACACACACACATATATATATAGGGGTTTCATTAGGTGGGGTAACTGACCATTATTTCGTAAGTGTGTCTACTGTCCATTTCAAGTATAGCTGACGTTATATATATAGTCCTTGGCTTCCCAGTTTTTATCATGTGTCTAATTACCGTATTACAATGTTTACTGGAATACAAGACAGTAAGAGAGATAGGGCAAGGGCATTAAGAGCTGAGCCAAGGGACTCTGGCCAGATCGGCTCAAACAGCACATCCGGCTGGAGGCTCCAGGCATCCGAACTGAAACGGAATGAGCCAAAGATTTTCAGAGCTTCATGATCCAGTAGCCTTCTCATGTTCATCAGGCCATGGCTTGTTACTTTGCCGTGTGCCTGCTATGCTGGGACAGAGAACAACATGTAAGACAAAAATACTTTAAGCCGAGCTCTGCAAAAGCCCTGAAGTGGTGTGAATTCTTCCCAACACTCACAAAACCCACCCACCAAATATGATCGTAATGTACTTTTTTTCATTTAGGGTTGTTATAGACTATTTTGTAGCTAAAATAGTATGGTTGTTAAAGCTTCATATATTTGTGTTAAGGTGAATGTTAAGGACAGCCAGTGCCATACCGGATGAAGACAAATTAATGCACATGTCACTTTTAGAAAGCATTTCAACTGGTAATTTTGGGTTAATTTGAGTTGGTTTTTGACAAAGAAATGTACTGCCTATTAATCTCTTTCTTTAAATTGCAGTGCTATTATTCATCACAAAACTAATTGTATCTGCTCCTCTTACTACCTTTGATTAGTAAGTGCATAATGCGATCTTCACACTGCAAATTTAATGTCTCTGTATACCGGAGTCACTTTGCTGAAGTGGTTTTTGGTGTTTGGCCCATGGATGCTTTACTCACAGGGTCAAGAGTCATACTGTGCTATGATGCATGTTCCTGTAACTCCTAAAATGTTTTACCTGTCAAAATCAAAAATACTTATCATTTTGCACCTGAAATTAAAATACACACACACACACACACACATATACAGTATATATATATACTGTATGTGTGTGTTTGTGTTTTAATTTCAGGTGCAAAATGATAAGTATATATATGTGTGTGTGTGTGTGTTTTAATTTCAGGTGCAAAATGATAAGTATGTGTGTGTGTGTGTGTGCCTCACACATTCCAATCAGTCATAACATTAAAATCAGCTGTCAAGTGAAATACATGGATTGTCTTATTACAGTAGCATTTATCAGGGGTGCCATTATATATTATTAAAGTGAACAGTCAGTGCGTGGTAAGTTTTTGAAGTTTGAAGCAGGAAAGTTGGTCAGTTTTTGAAGTTTGAAGCAGAAAAAATGGGCAAGTGTAAGGATCTGAGCAACTTTTACAAGAGCCGGATTGTGATGGTTAGACAATTGGGTCAGAGCATCTCCACAATAGCAGGTCTTGGGGAGTGTTCCCCATCTGCACTGGTCAGTACCTATCAAAAGTGATCCAGGGAAGGCCAACCAGTGAACCAGCAATGGGATCATGGGCGTCCAAAGCTCACTGATGTGCTTGGGGAGCGAAGGCAAATTCATCTGGTGTGATCCCATAGGAAATCTACTGTGGCACAAATTGCTGAAAAGTTAATGCTGGCTTTGATAGAAAAGTGTCAGAACACAGAGTGCATAGCAGCTCTCTGCGTATGGGGCTGTGAAGCCACAGACTGGACAGAGTGCCCATGCTGACAATGGACATGTGAGCGTCAGAACTGGACCATGGAGCAATTGAAGAAGGTGGCCTGATCTGAGGAGTAACATTTTCTGTTGCATCATATGGTCTGCTGGATGCATGGGCATCATTTACCTGGGGAAGAGATGGCACCACAATGCATTATGGGAAGAAGGCAAGCTGGGAGTTGGATGCTCTGTTCAATGTTCTGCTGGGAAACCTTGGGTCCTGGCATTCAGTACCTACCTAAACATGCCCACTAAGCACACCCCTTCATGACAACAGTTTTCCCCGATGGCAGTGGCCTCTTTCAGCAGGATAATGTACTCTGCCCCACTGCAAAAATTGTTCAGGAATGGGTTGAAGAACAAGAAAAGGAGTTCAAGGTGTTGACTTGGCCTCCAAACTCCCCAGATCACAATCCAATCAAATGTCTGTGGGATGTGCTGGACAAACAAGTACAATCCATAGAGGCCCCACCTCGCAATTTACAGGACTTAAAGGATCTGCTGCTAACGTCTTGGTGCCAGATAATGCAGGACAGCTTCAGAGGTCTTGTGGAGTCCATGCCTTCACAGATCAGAGATGATTTGGCGGCATGAGGGGGACCTGCACAATATTAGGCAGGGGATTTTAATGGAATAGCTGATCTGTGTGTGTGTGTGTGTGTGTGGATTTGCATAAATCACATTTGGGGACCAAAGTGCGATAAAATCTGAAACTTCCTTACTTTTGGGGACACTTCTTCAGGTCCCCATTTGGATAACCTCAGTTTCATAAAAATCTGTGAATGCAATCAAAAAAGTAAAAGTGCCAAAAGTCTTGTATTTTAGTTGGTTACTTATGGTTAAGGTTAAGGCTGGGTATGGGTTAAGGGTGTCGTGATTGGGATTAGGGTTTTTCCCATAGAAATATAGAAGTAGACCAACTTGTGTGTCTGTGTCTGTGTGCATACAGTATGTGTGTGTTTGTGTGTAGTGGAATAAATTAAGATGCACACCCATAAATTGAGAAATGAGTGGAACAAAAAATTGTGGTCTCTTAATTTTTTCCGTAGCTGGATATAGTGAACCTGCTGTAACATATTAATACAATTGGTAGAGTTCCTTCAGTATTGATTACCAATCCTCTTGCTGTTAATCACAGCATGCACATAAGTAAATAGAAAAGAAGTGCATATCAGTGGAAAACAATTATTTTTGAAGAGTGGATTACCAATTTTTCAGCCAAGTGAAGGCAAACAGTGACAATACATAAGGGAACACTTGATCGTCTTGTTCCAGCCATGTGAAATTACAGCTGGACACCTTGTGTTCACCTCATGGGGTAGGAGCAGCCTGCCTCAACCTTCTCACAGCAGTTTGCCTTCTGTGTCAAGTCTCTTGTGTCACAGCTGTGTTCACAGCATACCACACTATGCTGTTTTTGTTGC